GGGGAAATTCTCGTATAAGCGTTCTACTAAGACCTGTTTCGTGTCTTAAATTGTTTTGTCCTTGAGACCGTTATTGAAGAGAGTAGTCCCACGTTAAAAAGTGAATGTGGCCAGCTGTTTATCTAGAAATATATTCGCTCCAAAGATTTTTTCACCTGTGAAAATTTGAAAAGGCTCGTTAACTTGCTGAAGAATACTTTGAAACCAAGTTTAATTTAATGTACTATCATTTTCTGCTCACAAGATCGAATTCTGGCCTATTTCTATAAGTGACAATTCCCAGTTATAAATCTAGAATTATCTCTATAGATCTAGAATTGTATTCTATTTTGAAAAAAAAAAAAAAAAAAAAAAAAAGTAATCTAACCTTAATGAATTATCAAGTGACTTATCATGAGTGACAACTCATATTATATACTAATGATCCCGAAATACTAATAATCCACTTATAAAAACGATTTCTGTTTAATTATTTTGAAAATGCTATATACCGGCTTATTTATTTCAGCAAGTGAATTTTAGTCCACTAAAATGGAATTAATTTTAGTGGACTAAAATTAAAGTTCAAGTTTAAAAATAATTTGCGTTTCAGAGAAAAATTAATATAGGGATACTTTATTTATTTATAATGTTTTGAAGATAACTTACTTCTTCTAGGATACTTCTAATTCCTTTTAAATTTCTTGACATCCAAACTGTAGGAATTAAAATTATTAAGTTAAGAATTTAGCATAATTTCTAATTATTTAATTACAGACATTTCATAATGTGCGGTGTAAATGAAGTGTTTAGTTGAAGACTATACATCAGCTAGATGTTAATGTTCCTAAATGAAAAAGTGCACAAAAAAAAAAAAAAAAAAAAAAAAAAAAAAAAAGCCAAATCCTGATGGTGGTGACGATTATTGTCCACCACCTTTTAGTTCGGGTGCCACTTACGATTCCAATTACATCATGAAGGCATGCGGAAAGGAAGGAGAAAATACCTTATAAATCTACTGCGAAATTTGACAGCAATATAATGATATTCTTGATTAATCGTAGGATCCCTCTTGAATAATATAACACACCTACCATTTTCACATATTTACTGCGATATTATACTGCACGCTTACTAAGGTATTAAACACATAACTTTTCTTAAAATAATACAATAAATATTGTCAAAATTACTTACAGGTATGAATACAGAAAGTTAACGAAGCGATTAATTTGGTAGAAAATATAGGGTACTTACGTATTATCGCAACCACCTCAGTAGAATTTTTCCAATTTTTCCGAAGTCGCCAAATTCTGGCAACTATATGCATAACAGTTCTTTAGGTAACCATACCCATTGTAAGTTGCAATCCTAAAATTCACGAAATCGCCTTTTCCTTCTGTAAAAAATAGCCATCTGCGCCAAGGGGTTGCACTAATACGTAAGTACCAAATGGGGCTACATTTTATATGATATTCATGATTTGTTATTGATGCGTTAAAGGAAGTAATTTCACAGATTGTTAATTTATGAACTTTACAGAGGTTTTAAGAAATTTTGCAGTAAAATTCGGGAAATTATAGTATTTTATTTAAATTTTTTATTAGGATAGACCTGAACTTATAATATTAATAATTAAATATTTTTAAATGCTTGTTGCATCAGAGGCGAAAGAAACATTCAAATAGCAATTCAATACATCAAATTTACATTTAAAAACACAGGCATTATGAAATGACCAGTTAATGATCAAGTGTTTACAGCTTATGAATATTAAATACAATCTTTAAACATAAATGTTTTCATTCAATGGTAAAATGACATCATTGAATATTCAAACCGTATTTTTCTCAGTGATATTCAAAATATTTTTTATGCCATTCAACATTTTCATTTGAAGCACATAAAAACAGTTAAGAGATATACATAGCAAGAGCATATAATGGCATTTTGAAGACTTTTAGCAAAATAAATTCATTTAGCTTTTGAATGGTGAACATTATAACAACAATGAAAAATTTTATATATATGCTTTATAGCTGCAACATCATGTATATGTATATATATATATATATATATATATGTGTGATATTTACTAATTACTTTTGCAAATTGCAAGCTTTTGTATGCAATCTGTTCCCAAGCAAAATTTTAGTCTGCTCATATATCTATTATTAATATATAACATTTCAGGAAAATGACTTAATTTTAAATTCTGTTTTAAAAAATAAAGGAAATATTTGGCTTTCTTTAACAAGCTTGATATTTCATGATTTATGTACAAAATGTTTGTATTAGCGTCGAGAAAAATGTTCCGCAGAGTTGTATATTATGATGTACAATGTATGCAGATATGTGGTGCTTGCTACTGTCGATTAAAGAGGTATAAAAATTTATTCTCAGTCTTTTCTTATTTATAGATTATTTTTACTTCAGCGATATTCATGTGTTCTTTAAAAAGTAAATTTCTTCTATGTGTCTCATAAAGTGAGCTACATGCTATTCTAAGTAATGCATTAGATTTTTTTACAGTAATAATGCTGCTTAAATGAATTAAAATAATCTTTTTCAATCTAAGAAATAAAGCAGTAAATATTTTAAAATTTGTGTGCATTTTCTGTTATGAGCAAAAGCAAATCTACCAAGTTTTCCTACGAAGTAAATATTTAAAATAGTTATATTTCATTTGTGTCATAGATTCTTATCAGCTGCATTGTGGTAATTTTGTTCATTGAAAAATATTTTGTAGTAGCGTTTACTGTGAAAATGCTTATTTCTAGGAAAAGCGTTACTTTTAACATCGTTGATTTGAAGAAAGGTGCAATGATATATAAATGAGGTCATTTCACTTTCTGCAGTGCATATTAGGGAAGCAAATGTAAGTATATCTAAACAGAGATCTGTGAAATATGTATACTTGTTCAGGGGCGTAGCTAGAGGGGGCAAGGGTGGGCATCTGTCCCCGGGCGCAGAATCCAAGGGGCGCCAGACTGCTGTTACGACATTTTAGAATTAAATGTTTTCCATCCTTGGCAAGCAGTAGGGGGCACGAAATCTTCAGTTATCCCTGGGCACTGAAAAGCCTAGCTACGACTCTGTACTTGTTACAAATACTGAAATGCGAAGTCTATTCACATATCTTTAGGTAATACAAGATGCTTTAAATTTCTGTATGAGAAAATTTTGGAAAAGATAATTATGAATGATAAAGTGAAATTTTCAGTTACAGGCAACTTCTTCGAAAAATATTTTATTAAATATCTTTGCGTGTTGTGGCAACACAGTAGGATCATTTGGTTTTTAGAAGCCATCAAATACGGTAGTCACCACTCCTTTAAATCCTACTATCTTTTTACAGATAGCTTATCCGCCATGCACGCAATAGCCTCCCCAACGAATAAATTCCCAATAATTCAGGAAATCCTCAACACTGACTCTAGCATAACCAACCAGCATTTTATAATATCATGGATCTTAATTCATGAAAAAAGCATGTTTGGATGAAAAAGGTTATGTTGTTATAAGTATCTTATCATTAAAGATCGTAATGATCGTGTCCTCCTACTTTTCCTCCATTTTGAATTTATGGGAGTTGTTTACTTTCACGCCACTTGTAATTAATTTACATCTATTCGTTGCCTTGCGTTGGCAACATGTTTTGGAATTGTAGTTCATAGAATTCGGTCGTTAGAATGTAGCTGACATAAAACATTTTTATTACTTATTTTTAACTTAATTATGTTTTCGGATAATTATTAGATGTTTATATGTGGATATTTAATTATTATATGTTTACAGTTTGATTTGAATAAACGGGGAGTAGTTGAATTTATTAAAGTTATTTGAAAACGAAGTCTGTTTTTCAGCTTCAGCGCCATTTAATTAATGCTGGTTGTATCTCTTAAATTTTTAAAGTTTATTCCGAACTTCTGTATTGATGGAAAGTGGAATCAAAGAATGAAAGTGAGTTTTTTTAATTACTGTTCTGACGATTAAACATTTTTTTTCAACATATTATTAAAATATTTCGTTCTTCGCTACATTATTAGATTAAAAAATTCTGCTTCGTCACATCTAATGGCCATATGCAGAACAGTGTACTCTGATAAAAAAAAACTTACAAAATGAATTGTGGAAATTTTATCAATGTAAGTTTATCTATATAATCTAGCTAAATTATATTACTGAAGACTCTTTGGCATCTGCTAAATAGTTCCCAATATCTATATATTGACGGAATTTAGAATAAATGAGAGATACATGTATGATAAACATGAGTACCTGAGGCAACTTTGATATGAACTGATTCTCAGCCAAGTGCTCACAAGCTCCAAGAAATGAAAAAAAAAAAAAAAAAAAAAAAAAAAAAAAAAAAAATTAATTTTCATAATTTTTAAAATCATAGGTGACATAGGGATGCAAAAGTACCTGCAGAGCTACACGAGAATTTCATATTTGCCTTTAAATACAAGATTGACTTTATGAATACAAAAGTTTCAGTTTCTTAAAGAAAAATATTTCATATGACTATTAACAAGAAAATTCCGAGTTTCAAGCCACAAGATATGCATGATAAAAGAATGGTGGAAGGAAGTTTTTTCTATATATTTCTAGATCGGAATTAAAAATGTTGCCATAACAAATAAATAATGGTATATATAATTACGTTATGTTCAATACTTTTTTCTGTTAAGTTTCGGCTGGTGGAGGCATTATTGCAAGATTTTGACATGCAAATGTAAGTCGGTCTGTTAGAATTTCAAGCCGCATTGTGATTCGCCATTTTTACGAAGTCGCAATTGTATCATGGGCTAACTTAGCTACTTATAATAAAAAAGCAAAACAACCTTTTTGATGTATGTTATAAATATATACATAGCAAACATATACAAAAATAAAAACGCACTTTGGTATCTTATTCATGAATATCTCTTACTGATATTTAGAAATCTGTATGATGATTGTGTGTAATTGACTTCTGTAAACTTTCTTGTGCAGCTGATATGAAAACTACAACATTATAACTGCCAAGAATTTTATCTGCACGTTTTGCATATGAATCAGCTGCTACAGATTGTCGATCAAAGCAATTAATTTAATGAACAGCCGCATTAAAAATACATTACATTGAATTCATTTTTATATACTTGATTTGCAATTTCAGTCGCATTTAAAACACTCTTCACTCTGGGTGAAAATCTAAAATAAAACATTTTACTAACTTTTTTATTTATTTTATATTATTGGTATACCTATAAATATTGCATTGCAGAGGTATTTCATAGCTTTTCAAAATAATTGCTGCTAATAAATCAATAACTGGAGACTTTTGCAATACTTGAAATACATGATTTTAAGATTTGTTATATTTATTGGAGAACGTCTGGCATTTTAATACTTCCTAAGATTTTAGAATTATTGTCCCTATCTGCGATATTAAAAAAATGGATTTTTTTCTTGTTGAAGAACTAACTAAAAAAGTATTTGAGATGAGCTTAATGGATGTGCTAAAGTTGTAAATGAGCAGCTCAATTATCGAAATGTTCACGACGATTCTTTGCAGTTCTTGATCAGGTAGGATTACGACAATGGGTTAAGGATGAGCAAAATGATTGGAGATTTGGAGAAGAGGATAAGGACTGCTCGGAATCTAGATTTCTCAAATTTCTTTGCAAAGGCAGATAGAAAAGATCATGCCGAAAATCTGAAAGATAAATACAAAAAATGAATAATACACTATTGTCATAAATAACTCAGAAGTCTTAGAATATATAAAATATTAAGCATTACATTACTAAGCATATTTTAAGCATTGCATTTAATGAAACAAGGCTGACGTCTTCAGAAAGTAAATACTATCTTCCTTCATTAGATCTTTCAATAATTATTGCTGAATAAACTGAATACACTTTCTGTCTTTCCAGACCGCTTGAGAGAACATTTAAACTTATTAATTAAAATTAAAATTAATTAATTCTCAAGAAGCTCGAAAAATACCCTTACGTCAATTCAGTCTTCTAAATTTAAAATTGTTTACATTAAGTAGAAATATTAAAAGAAAGTGAATCAAAAATAAATAAAACATGAGTTACAAGTTAAAACAATGAAATAGTCAAATCTAGATGATATCTTTAGTTTACAAACAATCACAATGTAAGTCAAAATAATTTCAAATTACTGTGGAAATCCATTTTCTAAAATAATTAAACATTTTAAGTAGTCATAAGGAGTATATAAAAGCTTTTGCTGTTTAATATTTTATTAAAAATGATGGCTTAAAATTTAGTAACGACTTTTGTCCTTTTAGCGTAGTAGGGTTATACATTGAGCCTTTTTATCTAAAAGAACTTTAAATTCTACTGGCACATATTTGATTTGCACAAATTTAACAAAACTGTTACACTATTTGTGGATAAGTTTTGTCATACTTAACGAATAAATTTCATCCTGAAGAAGACTACTGATTGGTTTTGCAATAGAGAAAAGTTATTTGCTAAAAGCTCAGGGTTTACGTGAATGAAAATTCGTCGTCTTCTTGGCGATTAATTTCACGTGTGTTTCTCACGGAAGAAATGGTTCTAAATGGCCGCGACAGAAGCACTATTAAAATATTTCTTCTCTTTTCTTTTCTTTTTTTTTTTTTTTAATGAGGCTAAAGCTAAGATAATAGAAAGAGAATAGCAAATAATATTCTCGTTATATTGGCTGTAATAGTGAATTTTGAAACTAAAAGGGCCTATTATTAAAAGAATAGATACCAGAAATTGTATATAGAAAATGGTTTTAAATAGGAATTTACTAATCACAAAATATACAAATCTTCATTACTTCGCATGCATTACTCTCATAATAGATTTCGAATAGTTGAATTATTATATAATAAGATTAAAGATAAAATTTGGTAGTAGCCTTTTTTTTTTAAGAAAACAATTAACAAATTTCTTGGGAATCTGATTATTAACTACAGTAACTGCAGTTAAAACAAATTTATTCTCTTAAATAATTAATTTCAGTACAATTGTTTACTTTTTAAAAGATATTTTCATATAGATAAATCCTAAAGTACTTGGGCACGTGTAATATTTCTAATTTCTAATCTGATTCATAGCCCTGTCAGCATTACACATGTCTGGTTTTTATGATGATATACACTATTTTGCAAAAAAATCAAAGCACCATGAAGGAAGTGGTTGTTTTTGATGAAATTGAATATGTATATAGCTCATACACAGACAATAAAATGATTAAAAAATCAAGGTCATAGTGCCTGCCCAAGGCTCACAATCACCAATGCACGCTTGAATTCGTCGAGGCAAAGAGTGGTAGAGGTTCCTTATGTCATCCTACGACACATTCTGCCAGCAATTCATCAGTTGTCGCTCCAGATCTGCGATATTTTGTGATGCCCGAATTTCTCGGCCTACCATGTCCTAGACATGCATGATTGGTGAAAGGTCTAGTGACCTTGCTGGCCAAGGAAGAGTATCAATCGCATGGAGACAGTCCAGAGATATGCGAGCGGTATGTGGCCTGGCATTATCTTTTTGGAAAATGGCCCTTAGCTGACGTGCCATGAAGGGTAATGCAATCGGCCGCAGGATGGTATCAACATATCGTTGAGCTGTTGGAGGATGACTAATGATGACCTGCTGTCATAAGAAATAGCGCCCCACACCATCACACCAGGGATTATGGCTGTATACCTTTGTAAAGCAAAGGCCTCTGTGAGCATAACCCCGCCTCAGACAAGCGCCGTGAGATGGTGGACGGTACCACAGAAGGTATATAGTGCGTTGAATAGTCGACAATGATACCGTTGGGGCGGTTCGGGTCTGGCAACAATCATCCTATCTTGCCTCGCATTGTGCTCCTTGGCCTTCCACAGCCTTCATTTCGTCTGCAATTTCTTTGTAGCAACTATTGCTGCCAACATCTTTGCACAGCAGTGTCTGTATGCTGCAGGTGGTGGCTTATTGCTCGGTAGGGCCTTACAGAACCCTACAATGCGACCACGTTCGAAGTTTGCATGTGGTTTCAGAAAGAGAAAAACACCATAAACAGATCTCGGAACTATATAGGCGCAGAGCGTAGAATGTGGATTGGATGTAAGCAACAGCGCTGAAGGTATTGTGTGTGAGTTGTTTGTAGGAGGGATAGTCTTTTGTTCTCAGCAGAAATGAAATCTCAGTGTTTAAAGTGAACTAATGAAAATGTGACTGTCAGATGTTACCTATAACTCAAATTTTTCTATTTTCCCTTGTTTTCTTTCATTCCTTTTCCCGCTTTCTCGATTTTAATTAATTCATACCGTAAATATGTAAAATGGCAGGATAAAAATGATCGCAATCTTGTTTTCTCCCATTATTTACAACAGTTCACGGAGATTTCATGTAGCGTACGTATTATTTTCCTCAGTGAACACCGAATGCAGCTCATGATGTCATTTTTTTTTTCACACCCTTCTACAGTATCTAATACTCACTTAATTCTTTTTCGTACTAAGAATAATCTCTACTTTAATTAGAAGATTTGAAATTGATGTCAATATGAGGCTATATTTCCTTGTGTACTTTGATATAGTTAAATCTAAGAGGCTGCATTTTGTCGACTTTTGAAATTTGTATCTTACTGCTTTCTAAGAATAATTTTACAAACCTAAATTATTGGACTATTCATGTAAAATCACATTTTTCCGATTAATCCCGGAAAAAGAACAATGATAATAAAAACTATTTTTTCCAAAAAGATTTATTTTTAAGATTAAAATGAAGAATATCTTTACCTCAAGAGCTGCTATTCCACATCCAATGGCAATGAAAAGCATACTTTCATCTCTTAGAAATGCTTCCAGTTTGTATTTACAGCCCTAAAATACAATACAAACTCAATATTATTACTTTATCTTATATAATATTAAACTATTACCCGTTCAGTGAGAGTTTTGTAATTGCATTTTTTGAGTTAATCTTTCCAGATAACTTCAAATCGATTACATAATCGAAATTTTGAAGGCATAACTTGAATTTTGAAAAGAATCAAGAATGGAACACTTCGGAGGAATTAAATTAGAACGAGGAACTTCAACTGAATAAAACCATCTTTTAGCTCAGAAAGCTAATATACGGCAATTTTATATAAAGACTTTACCATTTAAACTACAGGCAAGTTAAATTTTAACCTATGTATAAGGTGTTTTGAAAAGATTCCAAATATTTCTTGACCGGTTAGTCTTAGATCCTTAATTCTTCCCCCCCCTTCCAAAGGCGGGCACTTGCCTATAACGGCACTGACCGTTATTAGGGTCAGAATTGGTGGCCATTTTATTTTGGAGGCGCCTAATGGGTGGCCACCGTTACCTCTTATGAAGGGACAGATAATTGTGCATCCATTCCTTTTCCGGGATTCGAACCCAGGCCCTTCGCTATCATAATCAAGCTCTCCTAACCACTATACCGCCCCGTAATTCTAATTGAACACAGTTTACTTCTATGACAAAAAGAAGAATGCCCTGTTTCCTAATATAAGAACAAATATATTTCAATAAATTCAATCGAAATAGCTCTAACTTCGATTTACGAAATTAATCATTTAAGATAAGTATCCGTAATTTTAATCACTTTATAGAGTTTGATTTGCTTTGGTAGCATAAACTAGTTCAAACTTCAAATCGATTCGCAGCAAATTATTGCTTGGTTTGAAGTTAACGATAGAGATTTGAGAAGTTAAAATAACCTTTTTTATGAAATCAGAACTTTAACATCAACGCACATTTTGTGCTTAACAAACAACCACCACTTGTGGTGATGAAACTTTAACAATCAAATTCAAATTAAAACTTAATCTAGCAATCAAAGACTATGTAATTTAATTTAAATTTCGGTCGCAAAGCCGAATAATTATTATCTTAACAGAGCTGGCGAAACCTAGTAACGTGGCCTCGAGAGGCAGAAACACGCTTTGTTCTTACAAAACCCTTGACTTAATTACTCTCTAAATGATTTGTACTGGTGAGGAAACAGAAAAGGGGAGTGATAGTAAAGGCTGTAATTATAAATAACTTGTTAATTAAAATAATAATAACCATGCAACATTTTTAATGCACATTTTTAGTGCATTTGACTCATTTTTAATGCATGAATTTGTGTGCAAGCTAATAGGAAAACGTTAGTTAATAGTTGTTAATAGTTGTAAAATAGTTGTTAACGACAGAAAGATTTTCATAGTCAAAGCAGTCACTTATTTAAAAAATTCCAGCTTCATACAATAAAAGTTACTTGAATTATCTAAGCTATGGAGGACACTATATAAACATTGTTTATTGTATTGCTTAAATTTAATTAAAGCTTAAATTTAATTAACACGAAATTTTAGACGAGTCCTAAAATCGACATTTGTGCAAGGGATAAAATTAATTAAAGTCTCAGAGTTTCTTAAGATGGAATCTGCATGTTATGGATTTCTTCCCTCCCAATAATGTTTACAGACTAAGAAATAGCTTACTAATCATAACTTAATTTGTAAAAGGTCTAAAATTTTAGTTTCTTAAAAGTTTTACAAAAAATTGTCATAATCGAATAACTACTTAATTTATTCTTAAAATCTAAAAATATGGATTAATGACTAACCGTTTAAAAGACATTTAATCATCTCAGCTTATTGAAATAATAACAAAAAGATTATAATTAATTAATTAAACAATTAATTTATGGAAAAAACGTTTTAAATTTAAGTTACAAGAGAGACATTTCTAGATAAACGTTCCTTACACAAAACAATTAATTTTCATATACATTTCTTGAGAGCTTAAATTTCCTTCCGTTATGGTAAGCTTTTGAAAAAAGCGAGAAATTCGGAGCTGCACTTACTGTTTGATGTCTGAAACGTTGGTTGAGACCGTCTTCTCTCTGGCATAATGTTTCGTTGATCGGCTGGGGATTAACATACGCTTCAGGTTGACCAGCATTCCTCAAAACACAACAAGTAGGACTCACATTCACATTCGAGTTGGTTTTCTGCTTCCAGGCGCTATCCTGATAATCACTTGGGTCCCGGACACCACAGCATTTGAACTAAAAGATAAAGAAATCGTTCTGAATGACTAGGTTAGAATTAAACTTCTTCTATTGTGTGAGGCAAAACGATTCAAACATTATGAAATCAAATTCGTAGTCATATCTGCTCTTCTGTTGTTAAAACTGAAATCTGTAAAAGTATATTACAAATTTTAGAATTAATTAATTTAATAATAACAGTAATAGTTGATATTTGTTAATTTGGTTTTGTAGTTCTAGAATTTCAAAAACTTAAAATGAGCAAATATAGAATATTATCTTTATCTCCCCTTTTTTTCAGATTAATAACAATAAGTGTTTTTCGCAAAATTGATATTTAACTCAAAAAATGGAATATCGAATTTTCTTCCTATGTATTTATTCTATATCTGATATTTTATTTTAAATCAGAAAAAAGTATTTCTTCAGAAATTCCAACTTACCTTTCTGAATTCTCGTCTTACACCTTAAATAGCTTGTCAAAGGCGCAGATGGGTAGAATCACAGGACATTCGTTCAAAGCTCAATTTTTGGCTAAAGTGCAGAATCGCCCACTTATTTGATTGGAGCTTTTTACTAGAGTAAGAAGAATTGGATTTTTATTGATTTTCTTTGACTTTTTAAGTGAAAATAGGTCGATGTGTACATGGATACCGAGTATGTGCAATTCTTAAAAACGCGCCAAGCAGTGGGCGATTCTGCGCTTCCCCCCCCAATTTTTAATTAAAAAAATATGGAAAGCTAGAAACAGGCTCTAGCAGCATGATATTCGACTGATGAAAAAAATCCAGATTGGAATTCCTTTAGAAGCTTAGCGTTATTGCGACTCTTAACTAAAAGCCCAACATACTTTTTGTAGTTGGCCCAGAAGCGCTTATCCAGGTTCTTGAGAAATTTGAAAGGCACAGCTGAACCGAATATAATCAAATGCATGTTTAAGGAGAATGTTTTTAAGCTTTAGTAGAAATCATGATTTCATAAATACACATCAAACTGCCTGAAGAGAGAGAAATCCTTTCTGACAGAACTTCCGTTGCACTCTTCTACGACACTGTAAAAGGATTTGAAAAAATATGATGTAGTGAGCTGCTATTGCCTATTGCACGACGACCTGAAATTAAGTTGTTTACTTGAGCTGAGCTTATGCCCACTTTAACGGATTATTGTGAAAAATTAGAAAGAAAATCTCAGGCATTAAAAGAAATTGATCTTGAGATGGGTATCCTGCAAAGCTCATTCCACGCTTCTTTTCTTTCCTCAATTATGCCAACATCTTAAATTTGGAAAGCATACTGTTTATGCAGTATGCAAACGATATGGCATCACTTGGCACAACCTTTAATTTATGCATTTAAGGTCATGCCTCAAATGGATCTTGAACTGAACCCAGTTAAGTACTGGCTCGTGAACCAGAAATTAACAATAAAAACGAAAAAAAAAAAAAAAAAAACTTTTCTAGGCTGTCTTTTCTAGAATTCTTTGCCATACTGATATACAAGCAAATCATTGACACTACAGTTCTCCAGTTACTGTTTCCTATATCCTCAGATATTAAAAAGCACTGAGGCGGGTGTGCCGCAAGTTTCTCTCTTCGCTCTATCACTCTTCTCAGTTTATGCCCGTATACCAAATACAAAGAACATACTAATACAATAAGTCAACAATATAGCCCTACACGCAAAACACGCTGCATGCATTTAATAAATACAGACATCTTTCTATACCTCATTGAAACAAATCAATGACACTGTAGTACTCAAAAATTCTGCAGTAAAGTATTCAAGAGTGTTTCTTGTTGTAAAGGGTGGCCCAGAAGTCACTTTACATTTTGAAAATTAAATATCTTTTTTTCTATTAATATATTTCTTTTTCTCTTTTCAGAATTAAAAAATATAATCCCTGGAAATTTTTGGCATGGATAAGTTTACAACAGAACAACGAGTGAAGATAATTGAATTTTACTTTGAAAATGGACGGTCAATTGTTGCAACGCAAAGATATGCGCCATTTTAATGTTCGACATCCCCCTAATAGGCCTGCAATAAGGAACTTAGTGACGCGTTTTCAAGGTTCAATTAGTGCAATCTTTAAAACCAGCAGACTTTCAGAAACGAGTAAATTATGCTGTCAGGTTTCAGAGAACTGCAAGAAATGACAATGAGTTTATTCACAAGTTGATCATGGGAGATGAAGCTCATTTCCATTTAAATGGACATGTGAATAAGCAAAAAATAAAAAAGAATTAATTAAATACAGTCATTTAAGAAAAAGTTATTTAATTTTCAAAATGTAAAGTGACTTCTGGGCCACCCTATAAAACTTACTTTCAAAAATTATCATTTATCCTGAAGACAAGGCTCACAAGGTTCTTGCGAGTGCTAACCCAATAACCGGATGTCGTTGCAAGTCAACTGTACAGACGAAAAGGCCCAAATATATATTTCCCAAATTAAGCCGATAATGCTCTCCACTATTCCCGTCTGGATAACTAAGTTGAACAGGCATTATTTTCAGAAACTTGAAAAGAAACATTTGCGAAATATTTCAAACTAGTTCCACTTCGTTAAGTATATTATCACTTATGTCAGTCAAAAGATGGAATGTACTCACAAAGACTAGCTTACTATTCCCGAAATTTATGAGAACTGTCAGAACTACAGACATAAGTTAAAGAGGGATCCCACGAAAATGTGTTGAATATTATGCAACTGCAAACAAATGAAGTCATTCGTTCGACATGGACATGAGAAAAGAGAAATCATTAGGATAAAATTCTTCGAGAAGCAAGCATATAGAAAAGATCAAATTGCCTCATTAAGATGCTTCTATTATTTTATTAAAAGAAAGGAATTTCAGATTCATAATTTCGTTTTTCTTAATCTTACCTTCGTTTGGGCAAGATCGAAAGCTTGCGTAACTGGCTGATCCACGCCGTATTTTGTCTTTAATGTCTCCTTTAGCTTTCCCTCCATTTCTGAAACACCCTTTAAAAAAGAAAAAATGGCATTTTAAATGATAACATGAAACTGAAAAGCAGAGATTTCAAACAAGTAATAATGAAATCTGTACACACAGCTTATGCTCTGAATTTAAAAGATAGCTTATATCTATATTGATCTCACATAGTATTTCCTCTTAGCCTATCAAATACTCTTATTTCTGTTTAGAACGGATTAAATTATTTTTTCCGTAGATAAAGAGTTATTGCAGATTTGCGCATGATTTATAACGAATGTACAGCTGCCTCTTTTTTCCGCCCTGATCTGTACACTGGTCAGCATTGCAAGCTGCCTTATCTCTAGGATCGGACTCGAAACCCAGAGAAGGCTTTTATGTTTTTAGCTTAGATGGGGGAAGCAGATGGAGGTAACTAAAATAGACAGCGAGCCGAAAGTTCTCTTGGTGGCAGGTTAAGAGCAGAGGGATCCGTCTTACGAGAGAATCTTTTCCAAAAATGAGACGGAACTAGTAGTACTGTCACCAGTAAGATGCCTAAGGCTCATGCCAAAGACAGATGCAATTCTGCGCCGTGGATACAATAAATGTTTTCCTATTCTAAATATTGCGCTTGTAAAGGAAATACATTAGAACTCCAACTATCTGAATCAACTGAGACTGGATCCCATTCGGATAATTGGATTTTTTCCGAAGAAACGGCTTACGTACACTTTAATTAATACTGTATGTACAAAATGGAAGAAAAAACATTTTTTTTAAGAAAAAGAGGTTTTAATTAATTAAAATGGAAAGGCTACACTTTTACGTGCATGTTATATAGTGTACTGGTACAGTACTTACAAGTGATGAAAGTCATTGCTCGCTGAACATCTCGGTCAAAATAAGCTGTTTGACGGACACCGTGCCTGCACTTGAAATTTCTTAGCCAGCTGTTACGTGTTTTAAAAGATGAACAACCAAGCTTCTGAGATAAGATCTTAGCTTTTTCACAAAGAATCGGACCCGGAATTGGGTTTTTCATAGAACGTTCCTGCAAAAACTATTTGAAAACGACATCTTCTAAATTTTTGGTTGTTGCTGCCTTCACTGATTTTCTTGAAGAACTTCCGTCTTCGTTTTCAATCAGTGACACGAAGTTTAAAAGTATAGGTTCGCTCCTTTTAATGTCTGAATTCGTTGATTGTCGAACATTAAGTTTACAGCTTAATTTTTTTCTTAAATTCTGAAAGCGATTCGGATAGTCGGAGTTCGGATAATTGGAGTTGTACTGTACTTTCGAACCAAAGTATTCATATACAATATTCAGTATTTCCTTTTCCTGTATCAAAGTAGGAAATGAGAATGGAAATGCAAAATAAATAAAAAATATAAGAAGTTTTTATACTAATATAAACTGAATGAAACAATCACCTTTTATAAAAAACCATAAATAAATTAAGTAATGATATTTAATATTCATTCATTATTTAGAAAGTAATGCAAGAAATATCTCAGTTTTTCTTTTTAAATGTTTTTTTATTTGATAGAAGCTTGTTAACAACCGGATGGATAAAGTAACTAAATGCGGTAATTTTCTTTTCAACTTGACTGTTTAAAATCTAGAAAAACCCAAATTTAGTGAGTGTCGGTGTTGATTATCAGGAACCAATGAATAAAACCATTAAATATTGATACAGTTTCGTTGCAAATTCGAATTACTTTTACAATAGTTTATTATCTTTAACTGAAAATTTCAAATTTTATATTTGATATTCATTTTATAAAGAACATATAGAGTCTCGTAATCTTTGGCAACATAAACTACCGAGTTTTAGAAAGACCGTAGAGGAATTATCCTCAGGTCTTAGGATCCGGATAAGTCAAAGACGGGTGTAAATGACCCTTTATTCAATCACAAAGAGCTCGCAGACGATCCCACGGTAACAGGGTAATTTAAATGTAGACTCTGACTCGTAGAAGCCGGCGGAACAAACTTAATCGTTAGAAGCACTCAGCGCCACAGAATCAAATTGCTAAGTCAAAATAACAACTAACACTCTCTAAAATCAACTTCCGAAACCTTCGCTTAAATAAAACTTCTTTCTTCCTCTAATTTGAACAACCGTGCGCTAACTGATTAAAATTCTGGCAGGAAAGTGTGGGTGAAAAAGAGAGTGATAAGAAAGTTGCTTTAACTAAAAATTAACTATCAGTCAAAATAAATGAATCTCCACAAACAATATCCCGTATTTTAAAGAAATATCATTTCTTCTTTGGAAGAAACATTAAATACACCCCGTTATCTGAAATGCATTTAGAATTTTTTCTATTAAATTAATATCAAAAGAGCTTTTTGGTTGTCATTTGTTGCATCTTAGATCTACCTTAACATTTTTATTTTCTTCGCAAACTATTCTTTCCTTAACAAAATTCATTGATCTCGATCCTTTACTAATATTTATAAAACTAAAAATTTTAGCCAAAGTAAGGTCAAATATTTCATTTAATTATTTTTCTTATTTTACATCATAAACGAAGTAGACTAACTGACGTTTATTTTCATGCTTTGCAAAGTAACTGCAAATTTAAATTGTCACATCTTGTATATTTCTCTGTATTTGCTAAATCTTATTTCTTTTAACCGTTTGTACTTGGAATCTCGCAGCTGACCTACCAACAACTAGACGGCATTTGTTGGAGAAAACGTAGATAACGAAATTATAGAATAAAATTTATCAAATATCTATAAACTTAGTAGAGGTCTCGTTTTATACCGTTTTATACATTAATATGAACTGCTTTCAGTTTTGAACATCTGTTTCGTTTAAGATAACAGACTTGGTCTTGCATATCTGTGCTATCAAACTACAGTTCAGTTCAGTTCAGTTAACCAGTAGGAAAGGGGCACCCAGACCTAGCAAGCTCTATTGGCTGCTTTAACACAGTCAAATGCCCCCAGCCCCTAGAGGCGATCCGAGGAGGCATACCCTCGGCCAGGGGGACACCTTTTATTTCACAAAGTGTAGGTTTTAGAAACACATGTCAGCAGTGGACGGCCACGCATCTACCGCAAAGAGAACAAACAACAATATTTGACATCAACCATACTCCAGTGTTGACTAAGAGGAGTCAAACAAGAACGGCCCAAGGACAACTCTCGATATCAAACCATGTAACGTCTCCCACAACCAAGGGGCAGACAAGACAGTACCATATGGTCCCTGCCGAGCATGAACATACCACCGTATAAACGATGGTTCTAATCACTGTGAAGACTTAATTTTACTCGAGAAGTCGAGCCTCTCTATATACAGATCTAGCCAGTACGCCAGGATTGCTAGTCCTAGTCGATCCCCGAGAAGTGGTTATCAAACTACAAAATACTCTTCGGAGAGTACAATGAAATCTATTTTACATATGCGAAAGTTCTTTTATCCTTTTATTCAGAATGGATCGCCGTGTGAATGAATTTCACTTGTGTTCTCTTAGGATTTAACACAACCTTTTTAGCAGGAAATATTAAGGAAACCTGCATATTTCAAAACGTTCTGCTGGCGTAATTTTAGCCTATGTATATGTCTCCTTTACAGGATATCTTACACAGGGTACTTAAACACAACATCCGAGAAGTAACTTAGAGTTAACATGTCCTCTCAGAAGAGATACCTCAGAGCAAGGATAAGTAATAAAATTATCAAATACATATTAATAACAAAAAGTATGCGAATTTGTAAAAACTAGACTACAAAATACTATTGCATTGACGTTAAGTACTCACTTTGTCTTGGAAAATAATGGCCATGACTCCAACAGCTAGTTCAGATCCAAGAATTATGAACAGGAATATGAAGTACTGAAAAAAACTCTTTTTTATTAATATAACAATATCGTAGTTTATTAAATGGAACCATATACATTAAACTCTTCTATAGTTTTGCCAGAAATTTGGATTTGGTTTACAGCCAAGCACTTAAAGGCTGTCTGCAAAACGTTAACATGGAAGAAAACACGAAAAGAAAATAAGGATTAATTAGAGCATAGTTATTCTACAGAATACCTAAACATTTTACAGAGTGCCGAAAACTGGCCGGCAAGGTATGAAACGATTAAACGTTTCACACATTGCCTAGGCCTTCTGTAGAATGCCAGATGAGAAACCGATAAAGTTTGAAACAGATCTCCATATTATATGTAATGTCTAGAGAAAGTATACGTATGATAATTCGTGCAGTATTTTGGTAGTTGTAACGAGTGTAACAGAGAATAGTTTCTGCAAACTTGAAAATTCTGAAAGAATCTTAAAACAACTATAAACGAGATCACAGTTTGTTTCATGTTCTAAGAATTTGCTTAGAACTGAAGATATTCCTGACCACGAACTTTCTTTCTGATCTTTTGCAATTGATCAGTCCGAAGAAAGTCGCCAATGATTCATCAAGTGTATGTATGAAACAAAGTGCCGAAATATGAAATGTATTTGTGTGAAAAAAGAAATGAAGTCTGTTCCAAATGTCATTCAAGTTTCCCATGTTGCAATAAATAAATTAATTTTAATTTATTATTCTTTTTTTGAAAATTTTATTACCTTTAATAATAAAAGCATAAATTTTCTTTCGTACAACTTTCATTTTTATAAAAGCTTTTTAATGACATTCTTTCATTATTTTTTCAAAATAACATTTATATCTTTGAGGAATGAATGTCTTTTAAATAATAGCCTAATCACGATCTTTGCTTTCATACTTTGCCTAAAGAGCATTTGTCATCCAATAGATCCCAGCCTGGGTATTATATACAGGGTGATTCGCTACCAGACCGACAAACTTTTAAGGTGTGTAGGGGGTACAGAGACGACTAGGAATCACATAGGAATGCAAGGTCGCAAATGCCATAGTTGCGAGCTATGGTGCAAAAAAGCAGAGAAAAAAGAACAGAAAGAGCAACACATTAATGGGACAACATTTTATTGAAAGAATGTACTACAACAGGTGTTCGAAATTACGGATCAGAAGTCGTCTGATAGACTTGACAGCAGCGTTGCATGGAATTCCTACGTTCTGAAAGAGTCCTGGCATTTCACGTATCCTCTCGGCAGCTACAGATGTTCGAGCGACGAGATTTTCAACTGAAGAAGCGGGCGTCTCGTACAACAAACTCTTCATGTAACCCTAGAAGAAGAAATCCAAGCATGATAGATCCGGTAATCTGGCAGGCCAATGAACCGAGCCACCATGACCTATCCACCGCCTCACCTTCCGAGCCACACGCGTGTATTCTACTCCCCCGGGAAACGGATAGTAACGACTATGACGGCTATCCGTTTCTGTTAGCTGGATCGTTGTTCACGCGATATTCCGTTCAGCGTCATCTACTGCAAGACTGCCGAGAGGAATCTTCCAGAACGTAAGGAATTCCATGCAGCGCCGCTGTCAGGCCTGCTGACGAGTTCTGGTTGTAATTTCGAATACCTGTTGTAGTGCAACCTTTCAATAAAATGTTTTCTCTTCCATTAATGTGTTGTTCTTGTTCTTTTTCTTTGCATCATAGTTCAACTACTATGTTTGCAACCCTGCATTCCTATGTGATCCAAAGTCATCTCTGCACCCTGCGAGTTTGTCGGTCTGGTAGCGAACCACCCTGTATAATGCCTAGGTAAAATATACAACAATTCTCATACTTCATAATTTGCTTAAAAACGCCAGGCATTCTATAAAATGCCTAGGTATTCTAGGCTCAAGCTTTGACAAAGAAAAGAAATGAGAGAATTATATAAAATGAAACTGAAATACACTGGTGCGCAAAAATTAAGGACGAAGTCGAAAAATTAGCATATCAGCTGAACGGAGAGGCAGAGCGGACAGAAAGACCAATCAGGAGATTAAGTAAGGTGATGTACGGTAGCACATGCGCAGATATGCAGGCAGACGTAATGGGGGGAGTGTCTGAGTAGTATAAAGCATGTTGTCGGTGTAAGATCAGTATTTCTGGCAAAGAGATTGCACGCCGTATAGCAGTTAAAATCACACCGAGTTGCTGCCTCAGCGAGAAATGGCGAATAATCAATCTGTTAGACGACATCTGGATGCTTTTACCCGAGGTCGAATCATTGGGAAGTTGGAGGAAGGCCGCAGTGTGACAAGTGTGGCTGCAGAGTTCGGAATTGCTCACAGCGTCGTTTCACGACTTTGGAGACAATTTCAAACTACAGGAACAGCTATCCGAGGGTTTAGTAGTGGTCGTCCACGAGGAACCACACCCGCAGATGACCGGTATATTGCCTTACAGGCCAGAAGAAACAGGTGGCAGACAGCGGGAGAAATCGCTAGACACACGACACAGGCGACTGGACGACCGATATCGCGTTTTACCGTGGCCAGAAGACTGCACGGTGGTGGTCTGTTTGCACGACGCCCTGTACGGTGTGTACCTCTAACGCCTGCCCATCGGAGAAGGCGTTCTCTGTGGTGCCGGGAACACCGGAATTGGAGAGACAATGAATGGGGACGAGTACTCTTTACAGATGAGAGCAGATTCAGTCTGAGTAGCGATTCTCATCGGATACTCATCTGGAGAGAGCGGGGAAGCCGCAATCATCCCTCGAACATCATTGAAAGAGACAGGTATGGAGGTGGCGGTGTTCTCGTTTGGGAAGGCATCATGCTTGGTAGTCGTACAGACCTTCACATCTTCGACGCAGGTTCAGTCAACGGGACCCGTTATTGTAACGAGATTCTTCTTCCATATGTGCGTCTTTTTTAGAGGCGCTATGGGTCCGCAGTTCCTTTTCATGGACGACAATGCACCATGTCATCGCACAGTAGCTGCCGAACAGCTCTTAGAGAGTGAGGATATTGAACGTATTAATTGGCCGGCACGATCTCCGGATCTCAATCCCATAGAGCATGTATGGGATTTTCTAGGCAGACGCTTGGCAGCTCGTACCTTACTACCAGTAACGATTCCGGAGCTTCGATTGGCGCTGCAAGACGAATGGGCAGCAATGCCTCAACAACTTATTGACACCCTCATTCTCAGCATGGGCAGACGCTGTGAAACCTGCCTAGCAGTCAGGGGAGATCATATCCCCTATTAAAGACCGGATGTTTCTTGCTGGACACCCATCACAGGGATGTTTCGGCCTTCAGTCGCATTGCGCTCCATGCTATTTTTCAATAAAACTTCTTTTTATCCCTCTGATTTCTCTTTTTGTAAGTGTTGCTTACATTACTCATGTCCTTACATATTGGGGATCTTACGGTATTAAATGTGTTGATTTGGAAAGCTTTTGTAGAAAGTTATATTGAAAAAAAAAGTCTCGTCCTTAATTTTTGCACACCAGTGTATATCTAATATGTTGATTGTACACACTTTTATAAAATGTTAAAAGATTTCAAAATTTCATGCTATGTTTCATAGAAAAATTGCTTTTAATGTTCTTCTAATCATGGCATAAATAACTTACATAAAAAAGTAGAAACTTACCGCGACTAGCATGCATTTATTTTCTTGCATAGCACCGCAGCAACCGAAGAAGCCAACGATGAAAACAAGGCCTCCAATTCCTATGAATGCAAAGGCCAAGTATTGAATGTGTGCGTAGTTATCGTCTACCTGGAAAAGCCTGAAGAGTGTGGATTTTTCCTCTTCTATGAGGATAAAAATGCCGAAAGCTATCAGGGCACATCCAGAAAGCTAAGGGAAAGAAAAAAAGACGGTTGGTTAATGGTTGATGGTTCTATTTAGTCTTCTTTTCCTCTCCTCCCCACTCAGCTCACAAAGTTACAAACATTTTGCGATAAAATCCACAAACGTGGAGGAAAAGAATGTAGCAAAGGAGATTTAAGAGCAAATATGGGACAATGTTATAAGGAATTAAAAGTATACTCATATCTTCAAAAATGTTACGTGCTAAGACATAAGTAAAAGCAAAAAAAACTTGGTAAGCAGCTCTTGATATTTGGTTATTCTATAAGATCTATCAGTTCAGGTCAGTTATGTCGTTGTAGAAATGTTGTTCCTACTCTTTATTCGAATTCAAAACAGAAATGCTCCATTAGATTCACGCCAAGTGAATTTTGGTTTTAGGCAGAGAACGACTGTGACATTTTTCTCACTGCAAAAATTTGCCAGGATGTAATCGTCTTCTAGGTTTAGGTATGAGAATGAGACTTTTTAACTTTGAAATTCATATCCGTAATAATAAGAGAAATTATGTCTTTGGACATTGCAGAGAAGGCCAGGTACTGATCTTTGGTACCAAAAAGACGTGACATTAAAATTCCTCGACGATGGCTCGTCGAGTAAGTTTAATTTTATAGGCAGTAAGTACTGCATAGCGGAATGAATTTATCAACATTCATATTTCGGGGATGCTCGTACAAGGAAGATCTATTAACCTTGTAAATGTAATGCATTTGGAAGAAAAAAGTACGCACGAATCTGCTCAAAAATACATATGATGAAAACTTAGATGCTAAAATACGTGAAGTTAAAACAGTTACAAGCAATATCGATATTTAGATGGCAGCATTATTTGGCGAATTTTCAGAATTTTCAAAGTGCTGTTTCCCGTGTCCCCTAATGATCGATTCTTGATACAAAAATAATACAATAAAAGCAATAATCGAGTAGATACATGCAGAACCTTAAATTGAATGTTTTTGTACGCATTTGTTAATCAAAGTTTCAGTAATATTATAGTTTATTTATTAATTACGATTAGAATTTTGTCAATGCTAACTTAATGAGGTTAAAAAGCAAGGAAAAAGTTAAGATTTGAGAAACGAAATGATGAAAAACACTTTTTTCCCCAAGAAAAATGTAAGCTCGTGCTGTGTAAACGATATATATGTCAAATAACAATGAGGACGTTGTTTCTGTATTAAATATATGGTACAGATGACTTTCCTTGCTAAGAATGTGTCTTCCATAATGATTTGGCCGAGCGGTAAAGACGCTGAACACTGGTAGTTCGATCCGAGGTTTGAATCCCGCGAAACGGGCTGGCTGCTTGGGCATTTTCGTGGTTTTCCCCATGTGTAACGTGTATACGAGCCAGTTTCCCTTACAAAGTCCTCCACGAAGGCATCTATCCCTTTAGGCAGATAGCCCTCGTTTGCTTTGCCATAATTGAATAATCCAATCCAATCTATAATGATTTGGATTTGTAGAAAACATATTTTTTTTTTTTTTTTAAATTTCTAGTGCATAAAATACCTTTGGAAACTTTTCCTTAAACGACAAAATACAAGTGAAATGCAGCATATAAATATGTAAGGTAGCAAAAGCAGAATTTAAACAACAAAAATTTTAAATAAAAAAGAAAAGAGTGAAGAATATGATGAAGAAAATCTCAATGTGATCTTGAGTTTTTGAATAATGCTTAAACACAGAACTCCTTATTGTAGCGGCACAAAGAAGGAAATCATCACCTTCATGAACCCAGAATTGCAGAAGGGACAATTTCGATAATTCAGGATTATCGAAGTCAAAAATAAATAAATCCTTTGGTTTTCAAACTTTGCGGCGAAACTAACCGAATGAGATAGCTATGGTCTGTATATTACATATATCTTTCGCAACTTCAACATGTATTTTCCACTGGCTCCACGTCCACAGATTTGAATAATGCAACTGTGGGTTTTAATATTTCAGACGCAAAGAATAAGTAGATGTTTAATTGTTTCAAAATGTTTCAAGACTGTGTACTTCACAAATTATGCCGTGAAGAACTCTTTAAAGAAAACTGATTCGCATCCACTCCACATAGGGAGAAAAGCACAAAATTCTTTGCGAAAACTTCTATTGCATTCAATATCTGGGAGATTATACATGGGTCCTCAATTATTAACCGAATTTGTCTGGCGGGTAGTCTTGCAAGTAACATACGTTCTGTGTCATTCAGAAGTTTGTAAGGAGTTATTTGGTACTTTTCCGTTTCGCCGGCGCAAACGATAAAGTCGCCAACAATGGTACAACTGATACCAAACGGAATAGCTTCGCTGGTAACAATTTACGCCTCATTTTCAAAACAAGTCGCAGACATTCCTTATCAGATTGATTGTTTCTTTCAATAATGGCATACAATTACATAGAATTGTTACATGATAGTTAAATTTTATGCTCCAAGACCATTCGCTGTAACTAAGTGAATTAGAATGCAATCACACCGCTCACCCGAAAATATAAAATAGGCAAAATCAAGGGTTAAATTCATCCATTCTAATGAGAATGCACTAGCGAAACTTGTATTCCAAATTAAAATTTAACTTAAAATTAATGTAGATAATTACTGAGAGAATTAGATTTTGTAGCGTAGTTTACATGAAAGGAGATCATGTGATACGAACCGGCGAATCAGGATGTTGAACCATGAAAGCATAGTAAATTCTTAAATTAACGTCTTTTTACAAATTTATTGTCTTAATTTATTGGCTTTTTACAAAATTTTAAACTATATTAAAATGTTTATGCCTTCAAAATAAAAAATTTTTAGAACTAACGTTTGTTAATATTTTTTACGTGTACAATGTATGTTGTCGCCAACAAAGTCTGCTTGGCGAGATTTGCGCCGGCAAAACGGAAAAGTAGCAGTTATTTATTTTTATTTAATCAGTTATTTAATGTTCAGTAATTTTACGCTATTTTCCTTTACCGTTGACCTGCCAGGATACTAATTTTAGTTCACGCGCATTCAAACGAGGTGGATAGAGATAGCATTTTAAAGGAAGGTTTTAAATTGTTTAGTGAGAACTTGTTCCGCCTGCTGAAGGTCACGTTATGAGTTGGAAATCTTTAACAGCAGTCTGCGATCTTGCGTTATTCTTGGCATTTGTGCTGGAGTGACGATATAAATGCTGGTTAGCTTGTAAGCACAAGAGCTTTCTGTTAAATAACTGAGTTTTAATAAAACGGTCTTTTATACCCTTCTTACGTTCTCTGTCTTCTTAGTGGACATAGCGATAAGTCACTTAGCTTCAGCCTGAGTCTCGATTTGGTTCATGCTTCCCAAGAAAGTGAGACTTTACGAGCTTTATATTTTTTTTTATATTTTTGTATGCGATAAACATCTGGTTGAGACCAGAGTTAGTCATATATGGTACAGAGAGCTTCCTGAGTTCTTGACTGTCTCAGAACTTGGTCTTTCAGCAAAATCACTAATTTCTCTCAACCTTCTTTGTACTGGATCAATGACACCTTGAAGAACGTTAAAATATTCGGTCTACCGTAAAGTTCTGTCCGTTTCTATGACAACAAGTTTCGACACGTAAGCATATGCTTATCTGGCGCATGTTGGGCTCTCAATTTTATCGCTTAATATACAAATACTGAAGTAGCAAATTAACTAAAACAAAGTTGATTCACATTAGTCTTAAGTGTGAAGCGATAGTGTACCCATGGCTACCGATAAAGCTCATTTATGCCTCTCTATTTTATATGAATTTCAACAAAAGCATGTAGAAATTTATTGAAAGTGTTGGGTGAAGGTACATTTTCTGATAGGACATGCAAAAGATGGTTCGAAAAATTTAAAACAGGTGATTTCGATCTTTCTGATAAGCCACTTTCACGGCGGCGATCTTTGATCGATGACGATGTTGTCAAGACCATGTTGTGAAGCAAGATCCTTCTCTGAGAACATCGGAAATTGCAGAAAGGCTTAATTCAGCTCAGAAAACCATTTCGGACCATATTCGGAAGATAGGCCTGGTGTGGAAATACCCAAGATGAGTGCCACATGAATTAAGTCAAAGGAATTTGGATAATTGAGTTGTCATATGCATATCTCTGCTTGCTCGGAACAAAACTGAGCATTTCTTGAATCGAATGATAACTGGGGATGAAAAGTGGATTACCTACGAAAACATCGTATGGAAAAGGGCATATTGTGAACCCGGGAAACATAGCCCTTCCACCTCTAAACCAAATTTGACTCTGAATAAGAGAATGTTGTTCATATGGTGGGACATTCGAGGACCAATACATTATGAGCTTTTAAAACCGAACGAAAAGCTCAGTTCGGAGAAGTATTGTCAGAAACTGGATAACTTAAAGACAGCAGTCCAAGAAAAGAGGCCGGCGATGTAGACTAGGAAGGACATCATACTGCATCATGATAATACCAGGCCACATGCTGTTTTGGGGATTTGTCAAAAAACTGCTCAACTAGGCTAGCAACTTCTGTCGCATTCACCATATTCCCTGGACTTAGCACCCTTCGACTATCACTTCCTTTTGTCCTTACAAAATTTTTAGAAGGACAAAAAATTCAAAAATGGAGAAGATATCAAATGAGCACTGATTCAATTTTTCGCATCAAGAGATACAACATTTTTCAAAAATGGGATATACAAATTGCCCTCACGTTGTCTTGAAGTCATTAATAATAATGGCAATTATATTATTTAATAACGTTTATTGACGGTAAGAAAAATTTGTATTATGTTTTATAAGGTATTTCTCCCACTTTCCTAGCGTCCTTCGTGGTGTAGTGGTTCTGCACGCTGGGCCGGTATTTCCAGAGGTCCGTGGTTCGATTCCCGGCAAAGGCGGTTGCTAATTTTTTCTCTCTCTGGCTTCTAAAAAATCCTAATGTTTCTAGTTTTATTCCAAAACGGATAAAACTTTCCGTTAAACCGCATATTACGAACATGTCGCCTGTGAATTTTTATTTTCGGATTTTGAAATAATTT